TCCTCCTCCTCCTCCTCCTCCTCCTCCTCCTCCTCCTCCTCCTCCTCCTCCTACTCCTCCTCACTCCTCAGTCCTACCTCCTCCTCCTCCTCCTCCTACGAGATATCGGTCGACCTTTTGATTGGCCGATCAACCGGTGCACCGGATAAACAATATCGGTGTTGGGGTTGATCGGTTTGCAAACTGATAAGTTGATCAGTTCTTATCGGTGTATTTTTTTCTGATGGATTTCCAGAACCCACTTCCGCTGCATTCCATATATTCATGCATATTGTAAAATGTGGTGGGTCATGAGACCCACCGATGGTGAGACCGATCGGTTGATAGTAGGATCACGATATATATATATATATATATATATATATATATGTAAATAGATGTGTATATATATATATATATATCGAAAAAGGACAGGTGGTGATATCGACCGACCGATCGATGGATAGCATCATCGGTGTATTGATATGTCATCGATCGAGCATTTGTTCGGTGCCCAGTGATTTTCCCATGGTTGTCATGTGGTTGTCCCAGGGTTGTCCCATGGTTGTTCCGTGGCTGTCCCGTTGTGGTCCTGTGGTTGTCCCATCGGTGTCCCGTTGGTGCCTCGTACGTGTAGGTTCCGCTGTTGTCCTGCGCCTGTTCAGTGGTTGTCCCGTGGTTGAGTCGTCCACAGATCCGATGACCGATCAATCCCTAGTCAACATATGTGTAGATCGTGTACTTGTTACATTCATGTATATACGTGCTCCTAGCATACAGTCCCGACCAGTGTGCTCTGGCAAACGACATGGTGCAATATGTAGGGCCAAAGCTGTGGTGCTTGCTATGTGGCGCAGTCTTTTTATTAATCAATAGATGTGGCATGCGCCCTGTGGAACAATATCTGTGGTGTAAGGTACGTGTTGCAGTCTACGTGGTGCAAGCATCCTTGGTGAACGTGAAGTTGTAACCTCCACTGCTCGTGCAATTTTCCCACCCGCCCACCCGCAACTTGGTTTGCAAATTCATGCGGCCGCGATTACTATGACTGCTACGCGCTGGCCAGCGCATCGCTGCGGCAGCGGTGGCCCGTGCAGGCTCGCGCGCAGAGCGGCCAGCTAGTCTGGCGCGACCGGCTCAGCCGCAGTTGTGGTGACCGCTGGGCAGTTCCAAGCGCATCTCGCAAGCCGCGCTGACAAGCGGGCATTTCAGTGCGAGTCTTGGAATCCATGATTCGGGCGGGCGTGGTACCACGCCGAAGGTTGACAACGGCAGGCGCGGTGGTCATAATGGCGATGCTGGGGACGAGGATGACGCTGACGGCGGCAAGGCCAATGACGGCGCCGATGCTGATCACGCCGATGACGGTGATGGTATCCACGTATCTGCGTTGAAGGTTGTTGAAGAATTTCGACATGCGCGCGGCCGACGGGCGCGAGTGGCCGCATGGTATTCTTTGACAGGGATCGTGCCCCTCCCCCCCAATGCGCGCAAAAGGCCCGTCCGGTCGCATACACATATGTCGCGCAAAATCCGTTCTTGAACACCCATGGAGCGCAACCGCGCGCTTCTTCTTTCATCTGGACATTTGGTTTTGAATTCCGTACAGAAGCCGTTCTGGTCGGTTCAAGCACAGACTCGCCGTGACGACGTCACATTTTTTGTCGTGTGTTGTTGCAAACTCATGTCTGGTATTGAACGAGCGCGCGCGTAACTTAATTTGACGTATAGCGGGGGGCACTTCTGTTTGGGAATATGTCTTCAACTCTACAGTGAGCGATGTGGCATTCTTGCATGTGCAATGCGCAGCCCGTGGGAGTATCGTTAATCCGAGGGGTAGAACTTAATTATTTGGTTATACCGAAGACTTCACAGTGGTATTTATTGGTGTAATATAATATAGACATACATACGTATATATGTAATCTGTGTATATGCGCTTATGATGTAGCGTATGGCGTGCAGCGTATACAAAATAGCCGATGTGATGCAATCCAGCTGGTGCGGTGTATGCGGTGCAAACTATGTGGCGCCGCTTGTGTGGTGCAGAATACGTGACGCGATCGATATTGCACTACCTACATTGCAATGGCTACGCGAAGCAATGAGGCGCAGTGCAAAGCAATGCAACGCAAGGCAAAGCAACACAAGTCCAACAACGCAGTCTAAGGCAGCGCGCATCGACGCACAGAAAGCAATGCGCAGCAATGGTCCGCAACGCCGTGTGATAGCAATGCATCGGCGACGGGGTTGCGACGGCGACTACATAGCTTCCAGACCGGCGGGCAAACCCAGAGCGACGGCGCGACGATGGTGACCACAATATCGGAAAGAGCGTGTTCTACCGCTGCTGGCGGAAAACCGGGGGGGGTCACTACCGGTTCGAACCCCTCCCCCCCCTGCTGGCGGAAAACCGGGGGGGGTCACTACCGGTTCGAACCCCTCCCCCCCCCCCCCCCCCCCTCCGGAAAACCGGGGGGGGTCACTTACCGGTTCGAACCCCTCCCCCCCCCCCCCCCCCCCCCGCCCCCCCCCCCCTGCTCATCATGAAAAGGGGGGGGGGTCACTACCGGTTCGAACCCCCCCCCCCCCCCCCCCCCCCTCGAAAACCGAGTGGGGGTGCGGACAGTGGTGGGGACGGTGTTGGTGGGGACAGTGGTGAGGGGACAGCGGGACAGTGGTGGGGACAGTGGGGGGACAGTGGGACAGTGGTGGGGACGGTAGTGGTGGGGACAGTGGTGAGGGGATAGCGGGACAGTGGTGGGGACAGTGGGACAGTGGGACAGCGGTGGGGACGGTAGTGGTGGGGACAGTGGTGGGGACAATGGTGGGAACAGGGGGGGACAGTGGACAGTGGTGGTGACGGTGGTGGTGGGGACAGTGGTGTGGGGACAATGGGAACGAGGTGGAAACAGTGGGACAGTGGAGGGTACAATGGTGGTGGGGACAGTGGTGAAAGCGGTGGCGAGGACGGCGGTGGGACAATGGGACAGAGGTACAGTGGGGACAGTGGTGGGGACAGTGGGGACAGTGGTGGGAACAGTGGGACAGCTCAGTGGGACAGCGGAGGAGTCAGTGGGACAGTGGGGACAGTGGGGATAGTCGGGCAGTGGTTGGGGCCGTGGAGACAGTGGGGAGAGTGGAACCGTGGTGGGAACAGTTCTGGGGACAGCGGGGACAGTGCGACAGTGGTGGGGCCACTGGTGGGGACAGTAGGGGCGGTGGTGGAACCAGTGGGGACAGCGGTGGTGAGGACAGTGGTGCTGGGAACACCAGTGGGGGATGTGATGCGGACGGTGGTGGGGACCGGGAGTCGTTTGCTGGCGGTGAGTAGGGGGGGGGGGGGGGGGGGGGGGTCGAACCGGTAGTGGCCCCCCCGGTTTTCCGGATCCGGGGGGGGGGGGGGGGGGGGGGGGGGGTTCGGTGACCCCCCCGGGAGGGGGGGGGGGGGGTTCGGGGTGGGGGTTTTCGGGGGGGGGGGGGGGAGGGGGGGGAGAGGGGGGGGGGGGGGGGGGGGGGGGGGAGGGAGGGGTTCCGGCAGGGGGGGGGGGGATTTTCGGAGGGGGGGGGGGGGAGACCCCCGGGTTCCGGAGGAAAAGGTTGGCAATTTTCCACAGTAAAGCGGCGGTGGATCACGCTCTCTCCAATATCGGCAAGGCAAACGGGCAGGCCCAGAAGACGGGTGGCGACGGGGCGAAGGGAGCGACCACAGAGCCGCCAGACCGACGGGCATGCCCTTTTGCCCAGACAAGAAGTAAGAAACCTTAAGTGCAAGCACCGTTCGGGGAATCTGTGATTGTTGTATGTACATGTATGTATGTATATAGATATATTCACAGGTCGGGACGCCGATCTACAAATACATATATATATATATACATATATATACATGTATATGTATACATATATATGTGTATTACGGCGGGTGCACTTGCACCTGGTGGTGGTGCATGTACGTATGTATGTATGTATGTGTGTATGTATGCATGTATGTATGCGTGGATGTATGTATGTGTGTATGCATGTATGTATGTATGGATGCATGTATGTACTGCATGTATGTATGTGTGTATGTATGTTTGTTTGTTTGTATGTGTGTGTGTATGTATGTATGTATGTATGTATGTATGTATGTATGGATGTATGTATGTATGTATGTATGTATGTACGTATGTGTGTATGTACGTGTGTATGTATGTATGTATGAATGTATGAATGTATGTATGTATGTATGTATGTATGTATGGTTGCATGATTGTACGAATGCATGTAGGTATGTATGTATGTATGCATGTATGTGTGTATGCATATATGTATGTGTATGCATGGATGGATGTGTCTATGTATGTGTGTACGGAATGTAATGCCATGCAATGTATTGCAATGTATTGTAATGCATGTGTGTAAGTATGTATGTATGCCTGTATGCATGCATGTAGGTAGGTAGGTAGGTAGGTAGGTAGGTAGGTAAGTAGGTAGGTAGGTAGGTCGGTATGATTGAGTGGTTTGGTATGTATGTATGTCGGCATGCATGTATGTATGTATAATGTGCATGCATTTATGTATGTATGTATGCATGTATGTATGTACGCATGTATGTGTAGAACCGAGCCTGTAGACGCCTCTGAAGGGCTTCTTGAAGCTTCTAGTCGTCTCTGAAGGGCTTCTAGAAGCCTCCTTCCCTCTTCCTCGTCCTCTCCCCTCTTTACCTGGCAGGAGCCAGACGCCTCCGATGGGCCTCTGGACGTCCGCCTCTGAAGAGCCTCTAGACGACTCCGAAGAGCCTCTGGACGCCTCTGAAGGGCTTCTAAACGCCTCCAAAGAGCCTCTGAAGGTCTTCTAGAAGCCTCCCTCCCTCCCCCTCCTCCTCTCCCTTCCCTTCCTGGCTGCCCGCTTTGTTTTTCTCTCGCCAGGCCAAGGCGCCCTACGCCTTCTGCCCCCAGTACTCGGCTAGGCGCGCCACCCTGTCCGCCTTCAAAGGGTGGTGGCATCGAAACCACCACTGGCATCGAAACAACCACCGTCTTCGCTGCCTTCCTGGCCGTGGAGAGCTTGCGGGTGCCCTTGTGCGCCACCCTGCGCTGCAGCTTGTGCGTCTTACGGTGGATGAACTTCGTCTGTATCCCCGTCACCTTGAGGCCTGACCCGCCTGCCTTGAGCGCGTCGACCACGGCGCTAGGGGAGTGGGCCTTCTGCACGCTTCGGAGGAGCTGCTGGGCGAGCTTGGGGCAACTCCTGAGGTTGTGGCCAGCCTTGCCGCAGTGCTGGCACACTCGCTGCTGAGCCTGCTGGAGCTCGGGCTCCTGAGCCTGCTGAAGCTCGGGCTTTGAGCCTGCTGAAGCTTCGGCATCACTGCAAGCGGGGCCTCTTAGCAGATGCTGGCTCGGGCTCTGGCTCTGGCTCGTCCAGGGGGCCCTCTGGCTCCTCGTCGCTGTCGAGCTCCGTGTCTGGCACGAAGCTGTCCTCCTCGCTCTCCCCGGTCTCGTACCTGCAGGGCCCCAGACCGTCGCTGTCCCCCTCGTCGGACAACCAGTCCGTCAGTGGGTCGTCCTCGTAGTCGACCTCCCAGTCGTGGTCGGGGTCGAACCAGCAAGGGAGGCAACTTATCACGGAAGAGCTGTGTTGCAGCCCAGGGAACGAGTGCCAGCCACAAGGAGATTTGCAGTAGTCGTTTTTGGGGCATGCCAAAATGGTACGCTGGGAGCACTTGGGCAAACACGGCTGCAGAGAGAGAGAGAGAGAGGGTGGGAGAGGTCTCTTAAGAGCTTCTATAGGGCTTCACTGGCTTGCCGCTGAAGGGCTTCTAGAGGGTTTCCTTGGCTTGCCGCTGCAGGGCTTCTAGAGGGTTTCCCTGGCTTGCCGCTGAAGGGCTTCTAGAGGGCTTCCATGGCGCCTCTGAGAGGGAGGGGGAGGGAGAGGTGAGGGCCTTTGAGAGGGAGGGGGAGGGAGAGGGAGGGGGTGGGAGGGCGTGGGAGAGGGAGAGGGAAGGGTGAGGGAGTGAGAAGGCCCCACATCATGAAAGGAAGTCTCGAACGAGAGGCCCAAAGAGATTGTGCTCCTCTTCGCAGCACGAGCGAATTGCAGGGACGAGTCAGAAAACAGCGCCAAAGCGCACAGTGCTTTATGGTAGTGGACAACCTGATAAATATGTATGCGCGAGGAACTATCGTCACTGGGCAACAGGTACGTCCAATCGGTTCCGCCTTCCACGCAGAGGTTAGTGCACTAGATTGGGCTACGGAGTACTTGGCAGCATTGTTCGCTAGGGCCAGAGCTTTCAAGCGACAGAGATGCGAGTGGTAAGTGTTTTCATGCCATGTCAACCCAAGCAGGGGCGCAATACGCAAAAAAAACGACCGTCACTGACCACTCACTGACATAGGCCACCCGGCATCTAGGACACACTACCACCTGCGAGCTCCTCCAACTGCCGGGCCGCCGCAGGCCAGTCACGAGCCACAGCGCTTCGTGTACGAGATGCACACCTTGTGGCATTGCTGGTAGGACGAGCGCTCAACGGCACCGTAACGGGTACTTACTAACGGGTATTTTGAATGTTTGCCGAAAGTTGCCACTTTAGGGCCTTTTTCTTGCATTGCAGCTTTGCCCACATCGGGAAGGATTGGGTTCGCTGGGTCACTGGCCAAAGTACCCGTTAGTGGAGTCCCCGTTTGAGGGGCGCTGAAGCACGAACCACGTAACCCTACCTACTACAACGACCACCGAAGACCACCTAGCACGAACAAGAGCCGCCCACCGACCTACTCCCACCAACAAACATCACCAGTAATGAACAACATAACATCTACTACGAACGTCGGTGACGACCAGGACCATCGACTAGAGAACCACCAGGTGTAAGTGCACCCGATAGGATATCTCTATATGTATATATATGTATATATATATAGATATTGTAGTTTTCGACACATGTTGATAGTTTGGGCCGGTGAGTGCGTTGAACCGATGAAGCACATGATGCATACACACAAGCTTGTATGTAGTGTGTATATGTACACACACACCGAAGTCCATACGAAGAGGTATCGCGAATCCGAGCACGCCTATCGCAAGCCGACATTTGCACCCATCCTCCCCAGACCTCCATGTCGGTCGAAGGTTGGTTGTCTTTGTACGGGGTATGGAGAGGAGTGGGAGGCGAGCGATGAGGAGAGAATGGGGACGAGCGCGCCCTCTCGCAGGAAGCCCCGCCATACGGCGAGTACTACGGGCCGGGACAGACAATACCCGACGAGTTGTGCGGGAAATCGTTGTTCGGCAACTGCACCTCCAGCCTGCAGCCCATCCGCTGCCCAGAGAAGTGCAAGTACTTGCCCTCCTCCGCCTCGTCGATGCCTTCTTCCCCCTCCCTATTCCCCCTTCGTCTTCATCTTCGTGCTCCTCCGCCCTTCCCCCTGCCCTCCTCCTTGCCCTCCCTCCCTCTTCGATCGTTGTTTTGCCGCAGGGCCCCACAGCGCTCGGGCTCAGTTCTGAGCCCAGGCTCACGATGAGCTAGACGAATCTTTGGTTAGAAACAATTCGGCCGCGTGGTTCCGAGGCCGATGTCGTCGATGCAAGGGTGGCCGTGTGCCAGTGGCTTGGAAAATCGTGCCGCCGATCCACTTACTCGCAAAGGTGCCCGAACGTTTCACAGCAATCTCAGCGAGCGATTGGTGTAGCTTCGGGCTGTAACCAGAGAGCCCGTCAATTCGTTACGCGTCCATTGCCGATACCGTCAGCTCCGACCACGTCACCCCAGATGGGCTCAGGCGTGTCTACCTAGGCCTGTCGACCCTCGCCTTCGAGGACGAGGGCGAGGAAGGACATCTGCTCTCGCCTGGCCTCGCGCCGCTGTTGGATGAGGCCTGGGCCCTCTTGAGGCCCTGGAATGCCCGAGGCGCTGCTTGCCTGGAGGCTCCTCCCATCCCCCCCCCCGGAGCGCGCCAGTCCAGGCCCCGCCGTCGTCAGCACCTCCTGCGGGTCTGCGGCGCACGCAGCACACACAGCGCTTCTGCAGCACAACATGCACAACATCTTTTGTTTCCATGGGCGGCACGGCAGAGGCAGATCGCACCCGCGTGGGGCTCATCGGGGAAACCGATCAACCGATAGCCCCCCCACCCCCTCCATCCTCCCTCCTCCTCCGCCATATTCCCTCCTCCCCCTCCTCCTCCTCCTCCTCCTCCTCCTCCCTCCTCCCTCCTCCCACCCCCCTCTGCAGCACACGCAGCACACAGCACCAACGGTCGAGAGCCTTCACCTCCACACTTGAGGGGCTCCGGCGCCGCCCGCGCCGGCCTCCTGGTTCCCGCCGCCCAGCGGACACTGGCGCGCTCTGCTGATGCTGCTGCTGCTGCTGCTGCTGCTGCTGCTGCTTGTGCTGCTGCTGCTGCTGCTGCTGCTGCTGCAGCTGCTGCTGCTGCTGCTGCTGCTTGTGCTGCTGCTGCGGGTCTGTAGGCCATCCTGGGCGCTCCTGTGGGCAGGAGCCTTCTCGCGTCGCTCTGTTCGGGGGCATGCTCTGATGGCCGGGAGAGGCAGTTGGCCTCTTGGGTTTTGCGGGGCAAGCGCCCGTCCCGAAGGAACGGGCGGGCACGTTGGGTCGGCTGTCGCCCTACAGTCAAAAAGCACATCAAAAATTGCAACGTTCGAAGGCCACCCGTGTAGCCTTGCCCCGTCGGCCCGTCCTTGGCGAGGCGACTTTTGCTGGCCAGCCCCGCTTGAAAACGCCAACATGGCCCTCCAAGGCCGTTGCATGCGTACCTCCTATCCTTACTGTGCGACTTGACTGTATTCAGGAGGGAACAAACACACACAGACACAATTAACCGTCGACCCCCAGGAAAATATGGGAAGTGAGCGGGGAGACAAAAACCCAGAAGATATGATAACATATTAGGAATAATTTTATTTGTGTGTATTTATTTGTGTGTCCTGGGGCCCCTTCATGTATGCGACGCCTCTGGCTCCTCAGAAGCCTCGGAGCCAGACGTCGAAGGGGCTCCGCCGCCTGGGCTCGCTCGCCCGGCGCTGCCTCGGGTGGCGGGGTCGGCTTCGTCCGCGAGCTCGCCCCAGTTTTCGCTTTGCCCCTCCTTGGCCTCGCTCGGAGCCACACGCCGAGGACGAGGACGAGGGCGACAATGCCGAAGACGACCTCCCTGACGACGGTGACGACGATCACGACGACGACGACGGTGAGGATGCTGACGAAGAGGAGGAGGAGGAGGAAGATACGACTAGTGAACAAGTGGCGCGCGCCATGGCTCTTGCACAGGAAGAAATGGGGGAGGAGGGGGAGGATTAGTATGTGGAGGAGGAGGAGGAGGGGGAAGAGGAGGCTTGCGACTTTCACTTCCTCGGGACACACACACACACACACTGCTCGTGTCTCTACCCTGCTTCGTTACGGACGATCTGTTGCCCTCCCTGCGCATTGTCTGTCAGACAAAATTTTGAATGTTGGTGTTTAGGATGGTACGTTGTTCGGGGTTCCAAGTTGTGCTCCCGCTGCCGCGTGGGCCTCATCTTCAGATCGGCGCGCTGCTCCCGACGTTCAGAATGGCGCTCTCGCGTTCAGCGCGGGCCACTTTCTCTGGATCCAGGTCCTGCTTCATCGCTGTCGCCCCCGTCGTTTCCCGCGTCCGTGCTCCCCTGGTCCTCCTTCACCTCCCGCTCCTCCTCCTCCTCCTTTCCCTCCTTCCGCCAATTAACGCTTCGCGTTTTCACCAGTTCCAGTTCCAGTTGTTCCTCCTTTCGCCATCCGCCACCTCTCTTCAACGCACGGGGCTCGATTTTTTTCCGTGCGCATAACACGATGGGGCTCCTCTTTGTCGCGTCGGTGGATATAGACAACAGCGCAATGAGAAGGGTAGGATGTTAGGTATTGCGCGAGCGTGCCTCTTTTGTACCTCTCCCTCTCCTCCTCCCCCTCATTCCTCCTCCTCCTGCTCCTCCTCCTACCGCTGCTCCTCCCCATCCTCATTCCTCCCTGCTGCTTTCCTCCTTGCTGCTTCCTGCTCCCGTCCTCCTGCCCCCCTCGGTACACCGTCGCCCACAAGAGCCTGCCTTGCTTCTTCCGGTGCACGACCGCGGAGAACTGCTCCCTGCACAACCCCGACCTGGCCTACCCGAACCCCGGCGTGCACGACGGCCGACCGTTCTGCACGTACCTCGCTCGAGGACGAAGGATGGAGTTCTTGGCATCGCTCGGACGTGTGCAGTTTTCCTTCGGCGAGGACCATCGAGGAGCATCCTGGATCATTTTGCGAAAACAACGCGCACGAAACCGAACAAAATAACCCAGGGAATGGAC